TACATTTCTGATACCTGCGTGAAGGTCATTAATATTTGCTTCAATTGCTAATTTTTTTTTTTAAATAAAGCCACTTTCTCGTATGCTTCTCAACTAAAATTGAATGATTACCTAAAAATGCTTTAAAAAGTATTACGCATACTATTTGTGACATTTCAGAAATAAAAAAGAGAGGAATGCAAAAGCAGACACTATTTGAAGAATTACTCATATTTCATTTTAGACTGTTTATGACGTTGTAATTTCAACAAATTGAAATGATTTCCACAAACTGAAATAATGATTACTTTGTTTCCGTTGCTACTGACAGAAGGAATAACAACAATAATCCAATTAGAAATTTCAAAAAGATAAATGACCTTTCAAGAAGCTTTGCAAAGACATTCTTCCACATCGATCTCCTCCTCCTCACATATTAAATGTACATCAAATTCGACTAAGCATAACTATAGTTTCTATATTGCTCCAGTTCATCTACATTCACGCATTAAAACGTTGAATCATCGCCCCATGTGTAAATACTAACTCCACAGTAAGCCATTAATCATTTTTAGTATTTTTATGCCTTGCCCGAGAAAGCAAATCATTATCAATCATATACACATATAAATAGACATTCGCGATGTGTCAAAGTCGGCACTTCTGTAACTTTGCCTTGGGAAATTTTCCCTCCCCCTTACGCTTTTCCACTCGTCTGGGCAAGGACACCGATGAACGCTCTGTGCAGGAAAATATTGATTGAGAATTGCTCAAAAAAAGTGCTCATTATTTATTTGGAGGAGGGTTTTAAACCGTGTCATGTGTATTAATGAGTTATTTTGAAACAATGGAAGCTGAGAATTCGATTCTTAATTTGTGGTATTTCCGGGTATACGGAAACTGAGAAGTAGCCACATGTGTCATGTTATAGGTTTCTTCTGTCTCTTAAGAAGGATCATGAATCCTTGCACCTTATTTGTTCAAGAAATGTTTTCGAATAAACTGACGAATTCCACGTTCTTGATACCAGTTTTTCCCATGGTAAGGTTGCTTTACTTACATCCAGTTGCTCGCTGAGACGAGAATAAGGTTTGCTATTCTTGAAGAGTTAGAAGAGAAACTGCAAGATCTCCTTTTGCATTTAATTTACCAGGTACTTTTTTTTATGTTATGTTTTCTTTCCATTTCTAATTTTTTTTTCACCCAGAATTTCATCATTCGGGAGTGGTAAATTAAAATAATATAGAAAAAATATGTAAATTAAAACAATGTAGAAAAAAAAGATTATCGTAACAGATTCTAGCTGACTTACTGAACGGCTAGTATCTTGCTCTGTGGAATTAACCGAAGCGTAGGCAAGCTCCGATGAGGAGCTCGCTGAGCCTTTGTTAAGTTGATCCCATTTAATTTTAGAAGGTTAGAGTTGGTGACTATTAATCCAAGAAATTAATCCTTCGGAATAGTGATCGGAAGTTGTAATTCTTTTATGCTACTGATAAGTCCTTCCTTAATTATTAATAATTGTTTTGGCATGGAATGTTGTTAATTACCTGTACATTCTTAATGATAGGAAAAGAACCTATTAGGTTGTCCGGAAAATAATGCAGGTTTTTAATCTATATCTTTAAAGTATCATAACTCAACTCAAAAACAATTTTATTAATCAAAATAAGCACCAGCAAAATCAATGCATTTTTGCCAACGAGATATAAGTTTATTTGTGCCGGTAGAATAAGATTCTGGAGTTTTAGACACGATAAAGTTGTCAAAGGCGTTTTTGACCTCATCTTGGTTTCTGAAGCTTTTCTTCTGCTGAATGTAATCCAGATGTTTGAAAAAGTGTTAATCGGTCGGCGAGAGGCCAGGCGAATATGGGGGAAGAGTGAGAGTCTCGTATCCCAATTCGTTTAATTTTCTGTGGGGTCAGTTGCACGACGTGCGGCCGAGCATCGTCATGTAGAAGAACTGACCGCCTTCTGTTGACCAATGTCGATCACATGCATTGTAATTTTTGGTGCATTTCGTTGATTTGCTGACAGTACTAATCTGCCGTAATCGTTTCTTCCAGATTTAGGAAGCTATGGGGGATGAGACCGGCCGCAGACCACCAAACAGTCACCATAATTTTCTTTTGGTGCAAATTTGGCTTTGGAAAGTGTTGTGGTGTCTGACCGCGGTCCAACCACTGAACCGAATGTCGCCAGTTGTTAGAGAGAATCCACTTTTCCTCGCATGTAACAATTCGATCAAGAAAAGATCGTTTTTGTTGCGGAGAAGAAGAGCAGACGACACTTCAAAACGGCGATTTTTTTAATTTTCGCTCAATTTGTGAGGCACCCACTTATCGAGCTTCTTTGACTTAGATGATACGATTCAAGTGATCAGATATCGTTATTTTGCTTACGCCAAGCTCCTCCGCAAGCTCTCGAACAGTTGTGCACGGGTTTGTTTCAACTTAAGTCTTCAAATCATCGTCATCAACGGCCGAAGAGCGTCCGTGACGATCTTGATCTTCCAGGTCAAATTCTCCACGACGAAACTTTTGGTACCACCGTTGAACTGCAGATTTATTAACACTTTTCTCGCCCCATACTTCGTTGACATTTCGAGCCGTTTGTGCTGTCCTGTGGTCTAGCTTGTACTCATAAAAGTTAATTTGCAGAAAATTCCGTTTTGACATCTAAACAAAAACATCCAGTAAATATTTTTTAAATAAGTTTGGAACAAAATGATTAGTATAGAAATATACAGCGGAAATAGAGCTTCAAAATGATATATAAACCAGTGTAATTCAAAATATTTTTGTTGCTAAAAATGTACAGGAAAGATAAACAATTACAAAAATCTTCATTATTTTCCGGACAACTCGATAAATTGCTAAATTTTAAAGTAAATGCAATGCATTCTTGTTGTTGTTGTTACTGATCTCGCTCGTCTGATATCACAGCAAGCCCCCGAAATTCATCGTGGCAAGAAGGCGCCTGTCATTGGCAAGAGCCTTGGGCACCATACAAGTGACAGTACGACGACATTCCCCCCTAAGGTGACAGTAGGACGACTCCGGTCCGCCCCTAATTTTTGAAGGAGAGCACTCGGGGGGTGAATAGGTCCGAGGGTCTCCCACCCCTTTTCCCCTACCACCAATCCACTCGAGAGGACTTTCGACTCGCCATGTATTTAGAATGCTGCTGTGCTGCAAAGACACTATACATTTACAAGCATCCGCGACTTCTCCGGGATTCGAACCCGGGCCCTTCGGTACGGTAGCAGAGTCACTAACCGTTACTCCGTCTGGGCAGCAATGCAGTCTTATACTTCGATACAATTAAACTTTTATTCGGGAAACTGGGGGCCTATTGATGCCCGAGTGAATAATACCTTTGCACGTCAATTCTTCAGTTCCAATGAAAAGGTTTATATTGGGTGTGTTCATGACTTGTGACTGTACGTAAAGTAGACAAATGTGCGTTTCGTTCAGCAGTCCCTTTCATGAAAGTACCTTCACAGTGCTTTAGCGTGATTTATTAATCCAATGAAAAAACCCAGTTCGCCATCTATAACGTGGTGATTAAAGCTACAGAATCCAAACTGGATGCGGCTTTCTGTTTTTATCTTAGTTAAGGGCTAGTTCATATTGCCTTGGGTAACTGATGCATTGTAGATCTTTCTCAGTTTCCGACTCAAATTTTTTATTATGATTATTACTCAATAAAATATTTAAATAAAAAATCAAATTCTTTATTTTTTTTAAATATTTCCTCTGAAAATAAAATAATTTTTATGTAACATTTAGGAAATAAGTTTTATGTACTAAGAGCTTATATTAACTACTATGGCAAAGCACATTAGAGCTATCTGCTTAAGGGGAATAATTTTGGAGGACTATCGTGGAGGTAATCTCCCTGACTTTCATTAGGATGGCATGCAACACATGCGTAACAGAAAAATATCTAAAATATCTTTCAAACATTTCGTAAAAATGCATGTGAAAGATCTACAGAAAAGTAATAAAATAAATAAAAGTACATTAAAATTTTTAAAAAGGAAATAATTTAAAAAGAAAGATGTTTCTTATTTAAATTACGAACAATCCTTAACAGCGGAAGAAATGCCCTAAAGGGGTCCTCCCTTATTTTCTTTAGGATATCGTGTATGTATTTCGTAGGATATCGTATATGTATCGTATAGTACAGATAAATAACAGAAAAGTACCTAAAATATATTTTAAACATCTCGTAAAAGTGCATGTGCAAAATCTACTGGAACATAATAGAATAAACACAAATACATAAATTAAATGAAGAAAACACTTTAGAAAGAAAGAAGTAGCTTAATTAAAGATCCTAGACATCGTTAAAAACGGGAGAAGCGCGCTAAAAGAGAGCTGCCTCATTTTCCTTTAGAATGTCATGTAACAGATACGGAATAGAAAAAATATCTTAAATAAACTTTAAACATCCCGCAAAAATGAATGTTCAAGATCAACTGGAAAATGATAAAATAAATACTAATACATAATTTTTTTGTGGGAAGAAGAAATGGCTTACGCAAAACTGCTGGAAATCGTTAAAAGCGGAAGAAGCGTAGTAAACGGGTTCTCTCTCACTTTTCTTTAGAATGTCATCTAACTGATACGTTCCTCCCACAAATACGCAAAAGCATCTAACAATTTAAGCCCCAGATTTCACGGAGCATATTTTCCTCGCAAAAACAATTATGCCTCTAAGATTTATTTTCCTATGAATAAAACATCGCTACTGAGACTGATAAAACCCACTGCTTTATCGCAAATAGGTTAAGGATGCCTAAATCAGCTGAGAGAGGAGAATTCTCTCTTTAATCTGGCGAGAACAATACCACGAACAATTTTCGTGTAAGCTTGAACTTAAGCCAATTTTTCTACTACGTTATCATTGGAGGCGGGATGCGCTTCTATCCGGAAAAACCTCCAGCCCTCTCCCGCCCCACCTGAGCCGGTACTACCTGAGCATAGTGAACACACTTTTTTACTTGCTCTCCTCTTCTACTCGCGCTCCGCACAGGTCACTCGTAACTAAGCGCGCGTTGACTGTGGCTGCGAGGGCCCACCGCTGTAAACTGCCGCCATCCCAGCGAGAGACTTGCCGCCACCCTGGCGAGAGACTTACCGCCACCGCTCCTTTAAGCCTAACCCCGTAGTCATGTGTTGTGCATTCTCGGTTATCGGTGCATCAGTCAGAGATCGACAATTCGGGGGACTTCTCGAGAGATAAATTTCTGGCGGCAAAGGAATTGTTTTTTTCCAGCATTGTTGAACTCTTTGGAAGAAACGTTTACGGATTTGGAAGACTTTTTCTAATCTACTGGCCATATTATATATTGAGAGACTGACTTAACATCGCATCGTATGGTGCTGGTAAGATATATATTTTATTCTTTTAATCAAACGAAATTGAACTTCAATTTATTTTTTTCAGATTTAATGATCCGATGTAATAAATTAAATGCGTAAAAGTTTTCCTGTAAAAATTTAACGCGTGCAAGGTTTGGAAATTTATAAATTTCGTTAGTTTTTGTAAATTGGATACCTATGTAAAGGACATGCTCGAAGCCGTACTACCGTGAGATTTAAACATGCGTTAAATGAATTGTTTGTAAATTAAATTAAATAATTTGAAATTGCTTTGCGGAAATATGATTTCAAATCATAAAAGATTCTTTGGGTTTCGAACAAAATACGTTCTGACAATTCCAGATTTTAACTCTAAAATAACACGGTGAAAGAATTTGTTGGAAAATGAATTTTTAATTCTCTTTTGTCTCTCTCTCAGACATTTAACTATAATTAACTAAACCAGCTTATTTTCTTACTAAAAAAAAGTTCTTTTCATTATCTTGGCATTTCGGAATTTTATGATGAGCTATAAAGAAATAAAGGGAAGAAGCATACTTTATTATTATTCATTCTAGATTACAGAGTAAAAGTAAGGTTTATTTTGTGTTCAGTTAGCGATAATTTATTAAAAAATTATAAGGTACTTGAAATGTTCGTGGTAACACGAGAGCAAGGAAATTCATACCGTTTTGAAAATGAACCGAGTTTTAATTTTTTTTTTTTTTTTTTTTTTTTTTTTTGACATTTGAATAAATGGAATCAAACACTTCTGAAATACCAATTTAAAATACACGGGTTTCGAATACTTACTTATTTAAGATTTGCAGTAAAATACTGCTGTTGAAACATCGTATAAAATAAGCAACTAACAATAAAATAACAACAACAACCTATAAGAAAAGAAAAAATTCATGCCTAAGCATGGAATCTATTCAGAAATTTTATTAGGAGCTACAAACAACTGAAATTTTTTTTAATTCGCTCATTCTCTTCAAGGATGTTTTTTACTTTGATGATCTCACTTTTTAAAAGAAATATCTAGCCGAAACTTTGCAGTTACTGCAATGTTTAAAATGTCAGTAGTTTAAGCACTTAAAATACAAATATTTAGTAATTAAGTAACTAGTAGTTGCTTAAAGTAGCCAAATAAAAAATGCCAGAATTTATTTATTTACGTAATACTTTTCAGTTAAATTCTTATTACGATTAATCAGTATTGTGTCTCCCAGTAATAGTGATTAATTGTAATTATCAGTATTACTGGGAGACAAGATCTAAATGTTAGTTTACATACGGCGATTAAACAATTGAAATACGTAAGAACATTGGTTTTTAACAATATCTTATGAATAACAAATTCTGAAAAAGGTAATTAATGTGACCTTTTCATTTTACATCTCAAATCTTTCGCAAGCGGCAGCTCTTATCACGTTCAAGGAAGATGTTAACATTGAAAGAGGAAAACAAACTGTATTAAATATGGATGAGTGTATAAAATATTCTCTGTTAAAAAATTTGCTTTTTCGTGCGTTGGAGGTGTGAACGGTGTTCCCTTTACTTCTTTTCGCAGTTTCTTATCTTTAACTTATCGAGAGTACATGAAATAATTATTTCTGTAAACAGATAAACGATAATGCCCACATCCATTGAAAATATATTTTCATGGGAAAAGGTAAAATTCTAACCAATGGCTTATTCCTTAGAAAATGTATGGACGAATGCGCAATTTAATTTACCGCTGAAGTGAAATATAATTACTATTAGTACATCAAACATTTTTGAAAAGAGATTTCAAATTATCGTTGTAAACTTTTATGATAGTTAATATTACATAGTACATTAAATTAATATCTATGTGCTTTCTTAGTTTCTATTACCACCAACAACAAAAAAGTCTATTTCATTTTTATCTTCTCGGTTTCTGCCTAAAATGTTTCAAATAAAAAAAATCAAAGAAATGCAGATCAGCATTGGGTAACTAGTAGCACCCCATCGTTTTCGATGATTATAGTGAAGTGAAGAAACAAGACAATGAACAAGTGAAGAAACACACAGTGGTACATTGTGGGTGTGGCATAATCGTTGACAGCGACGGGCTTCATTGCACCGCTAAAGGCACATCTATACAAATCACCTTCTGTTTTGACGGAAATCTGTTGTGTCTCAAGCGCAACTCGAATTCAAGGTCTCATCGCTACCATCTGCTGAAGCCTAAGCGCGCGGTACCTAGAATGTATAGCTACCTAAAAAATAACCTTTCAAAACTCGAACTCGTTCCACATCATTATAGATATCTCAGTCTGATGAACTTAAAGCTTGCATAACTATATATTTACATTAGAAAATACATTGAAACAAATAATTAGTTTTAATTTTAAAAAAATTTAAATTAAAAGTGAATAAATAATAATTCTACATTTCACATGTTCATTAAATAGCAATGTTTCCACAGTTTCCGTGATGTTGCAATGTATATTGCATTTTATATGCCTTAGCTGTCATTTGCTAGAATTAGTTAAATTATAAACTTCTTGTCGCTTATAGTAAAAACTCTAGAGCAGCGGTTCTCAACCTTTTGACTAACACGTACCATCTAAACAAAAATTGAAAACCTTTAGTACCACCACTACAAAGTACTACTACCACCACCACTCTTGAACAAAGCTAAGATCGCATAAATTTACGAGTGTTACAGAAAAATCTCAGTCAGGATGTTGAGGTTTTGATTTTCAAATTTAATAATTAAAAATACTTTGCTTCTTTGCGTACCACATATTTTTCTCTTGCGTACCACCAGTGGTACGCGTACCACCGGTTGAGTACCCCTTCCGTAGAGTAAGGTAGCTAGACACTTTAGCGACTATTTTAAAAAGATAAATCAAGATAAAAATAGTTCTAGAAAGACAAAGAAAATACACGTGTATGCAACGTTTAAAGGCCGGTTTACCTATGCATTTAAGTTTTTTAAAATTTTACCATTCGTTTGAAACAATCATATAGCTTTTTAAAATTAAAAGTAAATCCTATATTTTTAATAGAGTATTCGCAGTAAAACACCTCAAATAAGAAAGGAATACGCTGGTAGCTTGCTCGTGAATTGAAAACGGTATGGCTTAAGTTCTGAAGATGTTTTATGATATACACATATGGATTGTTAGTAGCCCCTCGCTTTTAATAGTTTTATAGGTAACTCGAAAATTTTTATGCAGTTTTAAATATCGTGTAAAATAAATCGGTTCAGCAAGAAAATAAAAATTCTCGATTCAAGCCTGAAATCTAATCGAAAAGTTTTACTGAGGAATAAAAATCGATAAATTTCAGTGTGATTTTTCTTGAAGCTGGCTGAATAATGCTGTGAAATTTAAATTACTCTTTAGAAATAAGTTGAAACAGTAAATTATTTTTAAACCCATACCTTCAAAGTAAATTTAGTCCTGCTATTAAACACTTCCATAGCTAGCTTTTGTTAGTGTAGGTTTGTAACAATACGAACCTTGTTTATGTTTATTGGGATTAATCCATGGTATTCGTTTTTGCATTTAATTCCTTTCTGGAAAAAGAAAACACGCTCTAAATTATTCTTAGATTTAGCAGCGTCTGCACGAAATATAATCATCTCTTTGGAGTTGGAAGCTAGTATTCGTTTCGATTAAAAAATAATTGATTAGATAGTTTAAAGCATTTCTTTAGAGTTGAAAGCTAAGCATTCATTTCGATTAAAAAGTAATCGATTAGATAGCTTAAAGCAGTTCTTTAGAGTTGGAACCTAAGCATTCGTTTCTATTAAAAAAAATAATCGATTATATAGTTTAAAGCATTTCTTCTCTACCTTCTTTCTCAATAAAAAGTTGAAGAGAGTGCATAAATGCTTCGCACACTCAACAATTTCCTCTAAATTCATCTTACAGCTTGTAGAATGGTACAGTCTGTTTTTCTTTAAATTTCCTGTGTTATGTTTAAAGGAAAATGATTTTGAAGGTTTGAAGAAAAGTAATTACGCAGCGCGACAAATTTCCTGAGTGTGTAATCGGTTTTCTGTCTTTTCTTTCTTTTCTAGAATTTATTAAGAAACTTCCCACGCACTATTCGAAGTGCAATGCGTTTCTCATTTTCTTCGCAGCTTGATCTGTGCGTTTTTGTACGATAAATTTATATTATCTTAATAATATATGATAATTTAAACTGCCAAAAATTAGGCAGTCTGGCTTGCTACCGTCCAATGAATATTTTTCATTTTCAGTTTGAGCCTACGAATAGTAATTCAGACACAGTAGTTAACTCCTGTACTCAAATTCAAATTCAATAAATTTGTTGGCGTTTTCCTTTTGAGCATATACTTGTATAAACTTAATCTTATTTTTTTCATTTAATATAACCACATGTTAACTTGTCATTCGTGCTTGTCATGTGAATGATTAAGGTGGAAAATCACGCAGCTCAAGACTGACTGAGTTTCTTTCTTTTACGTACAGAAACAAACTTCCTAGAGGATGATCTCTTAGTAATGACTGCAAATCACGCGGAATTGAAAACGTTGCTAGTGAAAAATACCCTTAACATAACCCGGGGATTATAAACGTTACCAATCTTACTGTCAGTATACCCTTACACATACACTAAATATATAAAGGTCTTATACATACACTTATACAATATATAAAGGTCTTATATATACGCTAACTGTATGTATAAATGACTATGCATATAATTTTTGAGAATTTGTAACTCAGTTCTTATGTGTGCCTTATATATAAAGGATTAAATTTAATTTAGAACTGTAACTCAATACTAATGTATTTTCATCAACGAAGTTGTTCTTTTTTCTTAGCATGTGAGATTAATAAAAATTTATAAATACGGAAAGCAAAACTATCTTTGCATTATAATAACTTTCATTTTGTGCCGTTGTTGAACAAATGAAATCTATAATATACGAGCGAGATTTTTCTGAATAAAATATGGTACGCAAGTAAATATTAAACATATATATACACTAACTGTAAAATTTTGCACAGAAATTA